AAATGGAAATGTTTCTTCCGTTTTTAATGCAGAGGTCAAATTACTTCCATACCAAATAAACAAGTGAATCACCTAGTTAGATGGATTTTGCACGGTTTCAAAGTTTAAAGGAAGTTGCCGCAACCAATTTCACTTGACGCTTTGATAATAAACATATTACAATTCGCACAACCATCAGAAGAGAGATACGCAGTGTTGGATTCCTCAAGAAGCAAAACAAGCCCTTAATTGGAGCCTCGCTTTGATAGTGGTCCCCATAATAATCTTTATATTTGCATAGGTTATTTCGAAAAGACCCCGCCTCCATCAGCTGTCCGGTGCGTCCTCATTGTACGGACAGTGAATACGTGGGGACTTCAGATGTAACACCAGTTTTAGATAAAATGAGTTTAAGATGAAGTTTTTGAGATGTGACCTCTTCAAAATAATCCATTCGTTCATTAATTATTCAATTTTTACGAAGAAAGAATTTTTTCAAAAAAATATCTCAATATGTCGCAATCCATTTTCCCTGACCTTTTTTTTAGACTTGGGAGGGCACACAAGGATCGGAACCCAAACGTATTTCACAGCCTATGGGGGCGAGGGGCGCAATTGATACATTTTTTCTTATCCGTTAGATTAAAACAAAATAAAGTTATATTTTCACAAAGATATTCCTTTGGATAAGTCACGACCAATGAGTGGAAAATTTTTAATAAATTATGTGGGATTGTGTGTCCCCCTCCCCTGCGCCCACCACTGAAGCACATTGTGAAAACGCCAGGTGCTTTCTGCATACAATGCAGAAACTTTCTGCCGGGTGGTGCCCCAGCCTTCATAACAGTGATGCTCATTGTGCAGCACGAATATTGACACACGAACGTGAGATACACAGATCGGTGGTCAAACACTTCAAGGTTGGTGTTATACAATTTGAAAGATTCTTTGAAAGTCGCTTTTCAAAGACACTGCGAGTCAGAATATTTTACAGAAAGCATATATTTTAAATTATAAAGAGAATAATCATTGTAAACAAAGCCTTCAGCGAATAATGTCAAGAATATTTAAGTAGAATTTGTATTTCTCCTAAAAAAGCAGCACAGGAACGGCGATTCAGTACCGGTGCACTACTGGTATTAGCACCTCAATTTTAATTTGTGCATGGTTTCTTATACACAAAATGACTAACGTCTCGATTAAAAATTGTAAATTTGCATATAAATGCCACACTAACACAGTATGAATTTTAATGATAACGAAAACGGTAGATCTATTTTTACATTCTTGCTTATTAGTTACGTAGGATGCAGAAGCATTTTACTGCTACAGCAATAAAACTGAAACCGAAAATATAGAAACATCTTGTTTCTATAGGTAATAAATAACTTTCTTTACCCTGTTGTGCAGTCAGAATCCACGTTTTGCGGGTCCCTTGCTACCGAAAACTTGGTTGACGAAAACATGTCCGTCGGTCGGCCTGTGAACAATGCTGGAGACTACATAGTAGGTTGGATTTTCACCAAAATTGATTTTCCCCAATGAATCTGGACGATCTCGTGGCGCTTGGATTTGAAACGGATATTTTCATTTTTCAGTGGGCGTTACATGAAGCTTCAACATTTTTAAATTTCTCTTAGAAATAGTTCCAAAGTTTTCGTTAAATTTCTTTCTCGGATGATTAAAAAAACCCATATAAAAATGCGCAATTCTGATTTCTCACAAATCGAAAAAGAAAAAAAGTTCATACTGTTTTGGAGCCTTTGGAGATTTTTTCATTGAATTAAATTTTTTCTCTAGTATTAGTTCTTGAATTAATGTCGCCACCGCTTCCCCTGGCACATATTGTTGACCGGTTTTTTAAGCGAGTCTCGGGGATAGGCCAGTCCTGCAATGCATGCAAAACGGATTTGAATTATTAATAGCCACCGGAAGACTAGCAAAGCTGGGCACATATAGAGCCCACGTGTGCTGCTTTTCCTACTTCTGTGCCCGGAAATCGGGATATTATAATCGGGATATATCGTTAAAACGTGCAATATAAAAACAGTCCCTATCATTATGCCAGCGGTGCATGAGCCAGTTCGGGGCTGCGGGGTGCAGCCTGCACCTGTTACCGATGATATCTGCTACAGGACCTGCAATCAGTACATTGGCACGTACTCGAAGTATCGGGTTAACATTGAAGTACATGCAACGGTGACGAGCTTAATTGTACGGACAATTTAAAGGCACAAACATACGCATTCCTATGCCTGCTTCGTAAGGATACAATGTTCCATGAAAAAGATACTATTAGGTTTGCAATTTTTAAATTTAGTATTTTATGCAAAATTGCCTGCAATTCATTACTGTCTGGTTAGCGGATGATAATCATCACCATCATAAACTGCAGGTTGCTAGGCCTATCACCTGTTCCTGTTTCCCAATAGACCAAGAGGCTTACACCTCCAGGAGTTCCTGATGTAGCCATTTTTTGTGGCCTTCCCTCATACCTACACCCTATTGGTTTATACTTCAATACTGCTTTCTTATTTTATTCTGTCAATGTGAGAAAGCCATTTCTCTGTCCATCTTTTATTCCTTTTACATTTTTTGCCTTAATCCTTTTCCTGGATGATATAATCTCTTTGAAAATGTTCATCATTTGAATTTTAATAATAGCAATAATAATATACTTTATATTAAAAAAAAAAAAAAAAGACTATAATACTAGTGTGCTTTTGAACTATTTTTCTTTCATTGAATATTTTGAAGAAATAAAATTGGACATAAAATTGGGTTTCGTCAATGTGGTAAGAGAAACAAATAGTTATGCCAAAGTTTTGAAATATTTAATTTCTTCATCAGGGATTACTAATAATCTTACAGATAAAGTCTCTAACGTATGATTATTAGTAGATGAAGAAACTAAATATTTTGAAACGTTGGGGTAACTAATTGTTTTTCTAACCACATTGACCAATCCTGTGAACCAAATTTATTTCTTTATTCATGAATGGTCGTGATTCTACAATGGTAAATAGTTTTAGTGTTTAAAAATGTTTGCATCATTCTATAATAAACAAAATACATGACATAATCTGAGGTCTTTGTTCTAAGAGATCTGTTCTTTCAGGAATCTTTTTGACAGTGCACTTCAAAAAATTTTGAATGACTAATTCAGTCAGAAAGCACTTTGAGGTGATGATTTATTATGGGCGCTTAATGAGCAATAAAGTTGTTTTAGAAACCCTGGAAGAAAATATCCTTTCAAAGAAAAATAACCCCTTTAAAAAAAAAGTTTTAACTGAAAATTAAATAAATGAATTTGGTAAAACAAAAAACCACCCACAAAGGTACTTCGTTCTTTCTTTCTGTATGAATAAAACACTATTGGGTCAATAAATATTATCCAAAACAACATTTATCGCAAGTCATAATATTTATGTTATTGAATAGCCACATAACTGAAATGAAATGAAGAGCACAAATTAATGCATTTGTTGAATACCCTAGTCTTCAACCCATTTCATTATCCCTATCAAATGAAATTTATGGTGTGTTTCATCTATTTGCATCATTGTGGACAGAAAACTAAAATATAAGTACATCTTTTGAGAAGAATTTACTCAATAAATTTTCATTTCCACAACACAAAACCATTATTTATTTAATCTCAAAAACAGTTAAAAACTTTGTGCAACATTCTATGAGGACAAGTGTATGTGGGCAAGTCTGTGCTTGTTATCTTAAATTCTGAGGTCCCTACCATAACCCATATACAAGCTGAATTTTGAATACAGATGGAAACAAGCTCTTTTGGCAAAAATTGATAAAATATTTGCTCCTGTGTAATAAAAATTATCTGAAAAGGAAACTCAGCTACAGATATAGGGAATTATTCGTGAAGGTATAAACTTATATCAACTGCCACAAAATATTTTCAACTCAACTCTAGAAAACATCTACCAAATATTAAAGAAAATAAACAAAACAAAGTGTTAAGGGCCAATACAAAAAGGAATGGGAATAATATATTCACAATAAAAACTAAGCCAGGAATGTTTCAAAAGAATGAAATAATTCATGCACCTAAGGAAAAGAAAATACAAATAACAATGAATATTATGATATATTTTCTGAACAATGCACATTTTCTAAACTACTAGAAAATACTAGAAATTATTAGAACAATTACTATAAAATAGAATTATGAAAGGAAAAGGGAAAAAACAGAAAAAATGTGTTAAAACGCACCTGAAGACAAACAATGAAATTAAACTTACAGCTGGATTACCATCATTTTCAGATCACTTGAGTCCAGAGAAAATTTGAAAATCTGATCTGAAGTTGTATTTAGGATCAATAGAATTGGCACATAATTGCAATTTTTACAATTAATGAATAGTATTGTAAATACATTTGATTAATTTTGCAACCAACAATCAACAAGAATGCTCATGAAGTAAAGAAGTGAGATAATCTAGTGAGATCTGACTTTTAAAAACAAATTTATCTACATATGAATTAAAGATTTAAATTTTCGAGAGAAAAAGTGAAATAAAGGAAAGAAAAATTGGTCTAAAATTACTATAAAAATCTCAGAGTATAATTAAATTAAATTAATGAGTGCATAGTTTAAAAAAACATTTGATAATTAAAAACATATACTCAACAGAAACAAACAGACCTACAGAAATAAAAATTACGCATTAAAATTTAATTTCTATTTTTTTTTCTTTGTCCAATATCTTAAAAAGGAATCGACATATGTATCTCATAAACAAAAAATTCAACTTCTGGTAATATTTTCTACATTTTTCTCTTCAACATAGTCTGCCCTCTTCTCACATAGTATCTCATCGTGATGTGTCAGCCTGACAAGTAATGTAAACATTATGGAACTATATGTGACTTGACAAACAGGCTAAAAGTATTAACTATAAAACTATGAAGAGGATAAACATCACCACTGTCACAAAATGTTCTAAGAACATTGGTGAGAAGTAAATCCAGTAAAATAAATAACAGTTGTTTACCTTTCGCTTGAAAACTGTGAATTTCTGAGAGCATCCTTCACATGACATGGCTTTGGAAGGGTTGCTTTTCCCTAATGATGGATCTGACTGACTCCTCTTCAGCTGGTCCTGAAACAGGTCGTTAAAAAATTTAATTTTTTCCTGTGCCATGATTGTTTGTCCACTCCCTCCTGGATGTTCTTATTCATATGATCACTTATGCATTAGAACTGAAGACAAAAAAAATCTGTCTTGAATTATATGTAGAATGAGTCTTGATAAGATAGATAATGAGATAAAGAATTGCACCACTATCATGTATTTTGATAACATTTAATATAAGTCTTGCATTATATTTGTAATGTACCTATAATCTCCAACAAATAATTGTTATAATTGAAAATTAAGTGTAAATGGTAGAACATGAAGACTTCTTTATCATAACAGGTGACAAAAACAACTGAAATTGTAAGTGATATATGAGTTATGAGTAATGGTAAGTATTGTATGCGTATATATGTGCATCGAATACAAAATATTTATAATACAAAAAATATCGTAAATATTTTTAATGAAATTTTAGAAAGTCAGGTAGAAGAGGAACTCAGCATCGAACAAATAAAACAAATCCACCACTAAAATACAATACGAAATAACCAATACATCACTACAATATATACCTCACACCTTCAATTAGAAAAAAAAGGATTCATTACAAATAAAAATGCAAAACAAAATGAGCATGACACCCAATTCCAAGAAGTGTAAGGAAGCGAACACGTACGAGATACGTCATAAAACTTGCTTTCACGTCCATTCAGAATAGCTTGGTGGATGCTGTACATTAATAAACTTCACGGGATACCTAGAACTAACTGCACATCAAAATGTTAAAAAAACATTAAAACAAACATAAACTCAAAACATTGATATGTCACTAACAGAAAAATATTAGTAGCTATATACAATTCAATGCTTACATTGTCAGGTTTTGTAGTTGCCGATACTAGAATGAATGCTACGTCATGTCACCTAATAAAAAAACTACAGTCATTCTTTCTAAGTTTATACAATATAACATGAAAAAATCATTATAATATAACCCTACAATCCGTCACTTAATCATTGAACCGATGTCACCTTACGATTACAATCCTCCATGTTCATGACTAGTTCTCCAAATATCCGCATACGAGCTCTGCAAATCAATGTGTGCGGAAATGATACGAATAATCATTACTAGAGTGCAGCACTTTCGATAATTGGTGACCGTAATGCTCATAGTCATACATGTTATTCCGGCGAAATCTAAAATATTACTCGCGCAACTTTTCTTGAACGATGACCTTGCTTCCCTCTCTCTGACACAATTAACAGCTGAAGAAAAAATGTAGCAGCGGGCACTTATGACATCATTCCAAATACATCTTCATTGGCGCGAAATAGAAAATATTTTCCGAAGACAACTTCTGTCCCTGATTTTCTCCAGAAAATGTAAAGAAATGACCGAAGCTGGTGAAGATCCATCACAGGAGATATCTCGAATTCCTGAGAAAGTTGGAACGTATTTTTGAGAAAATTGCAAAGGCATGACTGATTCTCCAGAAATTGGAATAGTTTCTTTAAATTTAGTGGCCGATTTTGTTACTAATACCCCCACTGTACCCGCATTTCTTCAATCCATCGTTCAAAAACAATAATTTTAGAATACATTAATCCGGTACAAAAATTGAATGAATTATTTAATCAAGATAAAGAAATTCGTATTTTCATAGATGGCTCCAAAAAAATAGAAACTTTTCTAGTGATAATGAATTATATAATAAATCATTTAAAATTTCTGATCTTGCCTCTATTTTTTCAGCTGAATCTCTAGCAATTATTTACCCTATTGATACAATAAATCAAAATGAACTTAACTGCAAGATCTTTACTGATTCTCAAAGCGCTCTGAAGTCATTGGATGGTTGTAGTGGTTTTATAATGAAATCCTCTCTTATTATTCAATTAAAAGCCAAAATTATTATATTTAAAAATTTGTGCAAAAACATTACATTTATTTGAGTAACGCGGAGACGAGAATTTTATTATCGCTATCTTTGTAACCTTACCTTTAACATTCGCAGAGAGTTGTCCTATCAAATTATAGAAGAAATGAACTGCATGACGATCATCGCAATGAATGAGTAGTGCGACATTTATTACTAGTGTTCAGACCGACGGATAATGTGGATGTGGTGGGTAGCTAATCCCACACGAAAAATTCCGAGTGGGTATTGACAGCGAGATGACTGACAAAATCGATTTGCAAAAATTGTGAAATGGTTTGTATCAGAAAATGTAAAGCGCGGCGCAGGTTTGTGTAGCAAAAATGAACTACTGGAGTTACGTAAAATAAATGTGAAGACAATTTAATGATAAACATGACAATTTGAAAAACAAGTTTTGTATTTTCCCCTTCAGTGGGAGATGGAGGGGGGAGAGGAGATCCCCACCGGGGTCGACTACCCACTCGGAGGGAACACCCATCGCCGGCCCTGCTAGTGTCGAGTGAGATCAGATTTGTGAAAGTCTTGTTCAGCCCTGCTTCTGCTAACTGCGGTAGGAATAGAACCACGGGTATAGGTTACTATTTTGTTACTACCAAATTTTGTTACTACTATTTTGTTACTGTTGTACCAATACTAAAAATCGTGTGGTTCGTTTACCTCTAAAAATAAATTTTCTGCAACTCATGAGCGAACATATGTAGTTTTCAATGTTGCTAATATAGTTTTGTTAGTACTTTTAATCAACATTCAAATATTGATGGTGAAAGGACGGGAAAAAGATTCTGGAGGTCAAGATGTTCCAGGGGCTTCATGTAAAGTAACTCAAAAATTTGAAGAATATTTTTCAAAATCGCAGACCTCTGAGTCGAGCCAAATTGACCGGGGAATATTCATTTTGGCAAAAAATGAATAGTTTAGGCGCTAGTGTTACTCACATACGGATGGACAGACGAACAGACGGTGGACTTACGGAAGTTTTGAAAAATCAACAGAAAACAACAACACAACACTTTTTTCTATTAAGGACACACTATTCGTGAAATCTATCTAACGTGTTAGAGGGAGTAATTTACTACATATCATGCTTCTTATTCGTCAGTTTCAATTATTCAGGAAACTTATTTGGCCATGTTTCAGAGGAACGATTTCCTCGAATCTATTGCATTTATTAAACAATTATCGTATTCGCACAGAGAAACGTGGTATCTTTTCGTCTCTCTCATTCCCTGCCCGTCTCCCTCCGTCTCTATGTCTCTTTTCGTCTCTATGTCTCTCTCTGTTCTTCCCCGACTCTCTGTCCGTCTCTCTGACTCTCTCCGTCTTTTCTCTGTCTCTCTCTTTTTCCGTCTCTGTCTCTCTCTCCGTCTCTCTCTTTCTCCGCCTCTCTCTCAGTTTCTCTATCTCTAATTTTGTCTCTTTGTCTCTCTGTCTGTCTGTTTGTCTATCTATTTGTCTGTCTGTCTGTCTGTCTCTCTCTCTATCTATCTATCTATCTATCTATCTATCTATCTATCTATCTCTCACACATACGCCCACATATGTACATACACACAGACACCAGTATTGTAAATCCTGAAAAAACATACTTCTAGAAGACTAACGCTAAAATTTTTATCACTTCCAAATTCATTCCTCAGTCGACAAACGACAACTATCCATGCATGAAATAACTCAATGAGGACTTCGTAAAATTTTCAGTTGCTAGAGGTTCAAGAAAGGATTCTTAATAGGTGGAGGTAGCTGATAAAAACTAGTGGTCAACAGTTTGCAGCGCTTTATTTCAGTACGTTTTCAAAATATTTAGGTTAGGCTAGTAAATCAGATTTATAAAATACATAGATATCTGTTTTACAGAGATGACATTTAGTTGAAAAATTCGGAGAAAATTATCAGACGATTAAAGAAATTGAAGTTCACTGCATCCAAAGCATAACATTTCCTGAGAAAAAAAATGCAAATTAGAATCCACAAATTCAATAATATATATTCACATATTCATTCGAAAATAATTAACAAGTAAATAATTATTAAAGAACGGACTTGGACGACTTGGAAAATGGTGACGATTAAGTCGACGCAATACCGAGAAAACTGGTACATTTCTCTAACCCGAATGGGTATTTTACACACTTGGATTTTTTCGAGTGGATATAGTTATCCACTCTACCCACATTAGATTATATCCTCCGAGCCTGAGTATTTAATATTGTCTGAAATAGGTAAAGAAATAACAGCCCTGTTACCTGTAGAGGAAGAAAACCAACATCCGTTGACCGCTAGTCGTCCGCCGACGGCAGGCTCGGCAGGCTCGGCAGGCCCGGCAGGCCAGGGAGGCCCGCCGAGGGCAGGCTGGGCATGCCAGGCAGTCCTCCGGGCAGGCTGGGCAGGTCGTCCATGGAGGGCAAGTCGGGCATGGCGGGAAGACCGCCCGGGAGGCCCCCGCCCATTGGCAGCCCTGGGTCTGCCAGCGGCGCCGCCCGCACCGCCTGCAGCAGCTGCAACCCAAGGCTCCAAGAGGCAACCCGACTGATTGATTGATTGATTAGTGATTCCGGGCGCGTCAACTACTCAGGTCATTAATCCTCTAAGGGTGGTGCATGTGTTTTCCTTGGGAGGCGGCAGTGGTCTTTCCCCGCTGGTTGGCGAGATCCGACACAGTTCTTCCTCTAGGCTAGCGGGGTTTCCCCAACCAGGTATCTCCATCCAGCGGGGCACTGCTCCAGATAGATGAAAATCCCGATTTGTGCAAATCGGTTGAACACTATATGCTATAGTTTTTCTCGTTCAAGAAATATTTTTGAAGAGGTAAAAATGTATATGATAGTTTGGAATATATGCCACCCCGCTTAATTTGCAACCCACCGGCCGCCACTGCACTTATTCTGAGACAGTTTACAAGCTACTAAGTGCAACACCACTTACCGAAAGAAGAGCCACTGCCACTACGGCTTGCTGGATGATCTGCATGTTGGAGGTTCTGCGGCTCAGGGACGAATACCGCGTCCCGGCGGCCCCTGCCTTTATACGGCAGCTCATCGTGGATGCAGCCAGGTGTGGCCAGGGAGGGCCGGGGGAGGGAGTGTCAGAGACAAATGGTTCACAATGTTGTCTCTGGCCAACTTTAAATGATAACTGTATTTTTATTCTTTGTTTCCTTTCTAAATATATTTATTATTACAAAAAACTTCATTTAACAATGTGTATTTTTAAGATAGTTATATTTAATATAGTTTTCATCGAATTAGCAGACAAATGTAAAATAAAATTTGACAAATGCTTCACCTAATGGGGGGGGGGAGCGGGGGGCTTCTACTGAGTGCGTTTTCGAGAGCGTAATAGGAGCTTTGTAGGACGGGAGGACTGAAGTCCAAAATCCGACGGTGGATGCCATTCAATATCTGTTAAATAGCTGGAATAAAGTCAGTTCCGGACATAATTTCGGACCTCTGAAAACGTGCAATTCACGACACTCCAGCTCATTAAGAAATAAATTTATTTTTAAAAAAACATTATTTTTTAAACAATACATTCAATCAGTATAGTTGTTAATTTTTATTAAATTCAATCTAATAATTTTACATCGTTTCATTAAATAGGCAGACACATCTAAAAAATGTTGACAGACCCAAATACTTGACACATATTTCTCTATGTAATTCGACGCTGAATCCGAATCTGGAGCCAGAATTGCGCCACCATCCTCCCACCACTCCTCCCTTTGAAAGGACTTTTGGTGTAATGTTCTTTAGTAACAAATTGTCGAGTAAACATTCTTGTCATTGTTGTTGTCAATAAATGTCTCTTTTTGAGTTTGAAATTGAAAACTTTTAAATTTAATAAATCAGTAAGTTGCCAAATTTGAAATCTACGGTGTATGCTGTAGATTCATCACCTCCTAAATTAAAATAAATGGATTTTTTTACGCCTATTAATTTAATTCATTGAATGAAAAAATAAGAACCGTCACGGCACTTCTTGTTATCTTAACAATTTTTACTAATTTGTGTAATGTATAATCTTTAATTTATTAAATATGAACAATATGAAAAAAATAGAACATTAATATCCACTTATGAAAATTGATGAAACATTTTTGTTTAGAATGATTTCTTCCGGGGAGCCCATGCATGTTGTGATAGTTGTTTCTGGAGCCTTGTTCAATTTGCAAACCCACTGACTAATCAAGAGGGCGATTATGCTCAGCCAGAGGCATAAGAATAAGGAATAAATAAGAATACCAAGCATACATAGGTATTGGATGAC